GGATGATAAGTCCATAAAGTTGCCCTGATCGCAACAAATTCCTGTCACGTTAATGATCACCTCTGACAAAATCCACTTATCGACTCTCTTCAATAGAGTGATAAGTCCACAAAGTTGCTCCAATCGCAACACAAATCCTGTCACATTAACACTAAACCTCTGACAAATTCACTTATCAATCCTCTTCAATAGGATGATAAGTCCACAAAGTTGCTCCAATCGCAACACAAATCCTGTCACGTTAACACTAAACCTCTGACAAATCAACTTATCGACTCTCTTCAATAGAGCGATAAGTCCACAAAGTTGCTCTAATCGCAACACAAATCCTGTCATGTTAACACTAAACCTCTGACAAATTCACTTATCAATCCTCTTCAAATAGGATGATAAGTCCACAAAGTTGCTTCAATCGCAACACAAATCCTGTCACGTTAACACTAAACCTCTGACAAATCAACTTATCAATCCTCTTCAATAGAGCGATAAGTCCACAAAGTTGCTCTAATCGCAACACAAATCCTGTCACGTTAACACTAAACCTCTGACAAATTCACTTATCAATCCTTTTCAAATAGGATGATAAGTCCACAAAGTTGCTCCAATCGCAACACAAATCCTATCACGTTAACACTAAACCTCTGACAAATCAACTTATCAATCCTCTTTAATAGGATGATAAGTCCACAAAGTTGCTCCGATCGCAACAAATTCCTGTCACGTTAATGATCACCTCTGACAAAATCCACTTATCGACTCTCTTCAATAGAGCGATAGGTCCACAAACCCGTCAGGTTAACATCATACCTCTAATGACCAAATTAGCTTATCGACTCCCTTCAATAAAGCGATAGGTCCATAAAATACTGTTAGGTTAACATCACACCTCTAACAGTCAAACCCCCAATGAACTTGTTAATCCTTTTTCAATAAGAATAGCAAGTTGTCATTATAAAATCCCCAGCGGATTAAATATTTTCTAGAATTATCCTAGTGATAATAAAGAAAAGTTCTAAATTTTACTCTAAGTGAAAATTCATGCCAAATTAATATTACACCTCTGGCGCTTTTAACTTTCTTTCAGTGTTTCAAGTAACACAGGAAGAAATAACGATAAAGTCTATGTATTCAAAATCATAGCATCAAGTCTAAGAGGGTTCATTCTCTTAGCACGACGTTATATGTGGAACGGACTTAGACAATCCATGTGCTAGCCCGACTCAAACTGTAGTCGGTAAAGGCTTATCAAATCCGTTGATGGCTGAGGGTTTGCCAAAAATCCTATGCATATTTGCAGGCCTATCAGCTTAATGGAGGTGAGCCGTGACGTGACGTTTGATAGCTTCTGCTCATGAGTAGCTTGTACCGTAGCTACAGTTTCTATTTGAAGCTCATCATCACACATGTCATGCGTGAAAAATCCCTTTAACCAAGATGCTTTTGAAGCGGGTGAAAAGAACAACTCTTTATGACAAGGAATCAAAAGCTCCAAGATCAGAGTTGAGATCCAAAGTATTTCGAAAATTCGTGCCAGTCAACCGTAAACTTTTGAAAACTTTGGAGGGGGTTCTGTAGGCTATCTAAAAATCACAATAGATAGCTGATTCCCCATCAAACACCGATGATGGAAGTTACAATCTAACGACTTCCAGAAAGCTACAATTTGAAGACTTTCACGTTGATCGATACAATCTGATGACCTTCATAACAATTGATGAAAACTCCAATCAACAGCCTTCACAATCAACATCGGGAGTTACAATCTGACAACTCTCACATATCAAAGAGGTAAAGCAAAGATTACAAAAAGACGATCTTTGCAACGCTTTGACAGAAAGAGACTACAAATCGACGGTCTCTTCAAATTAAAACGCGGAAGTCCTCCCCGCATACCAGCATCAAGACGCACCGCGTTCACAACTGCTGACGCAGTGCAAACGTAGCTCACATTCAGCTCCAAACGCAGCTCAGACCCAGCTGCCAACATAGCTCATGTTCGACCGCAAGCGCAGCTTCCATCCGCTGCCCAACGCAGCTTCTATCCGCTGCCAAACGCAACTCTTAAATCCTGCCAACGCAGCTTCCATCTGCTGCCAAACGCAGCTTCCAAGCTGCCAAATGCAGCTTCCAACAAGATGCCAACGCAGCTTCCAAGTGCTATAAACGCAGCTTTCAGACGCTGCAAATGAGCTTCCAGACGCTGCGTTTGAATACAGAATTCACGTCAGAACACGGATTTTGCGTTTGACTTGTTCAAATACGAGCTGAACGGTTTCAAAACCGTTTCTCACGATCTGAGGGGATCACAACTCCATTTAGGAGTGATTTAAGGGGCGGTTACATCCCATTAGCCCCACTTATGAGCGAATTAAGGAGGTGGTTACACCCCTTAATCCCCTATAAATAACTAAGAAATCAGCTTAGTTCAGGGAAGATCTTTCATCCTTCTCTGGGGCAGCAAAGAAGAGATCCTGGACTTGTCTAACCAATTACGGTTAAGATCAATCAACTCATCAAGAGTTTCAAACTCGTTCAGAGTTCTCCACAACGTCAAATCGTGAGGAGAAGATATCGTTCCAGTGAATCAAGACGTTCGGATCGTCAACGGAGAGCAAATTCGACGCGAGCATTCGAAGGAGGCACTTCATCGCCACCGTGAAGAACCCAGAATTAAACAAATGGAAGAATTCAGACCATTCTCCTCTCTTTTGTAATCAGAAAATCCAATTGTAATTGAGATTAAAGGAATACAAATCAATTTTCCTTCATTTCTTTTTACTGCAAATTTTCCACCAAACATATATATATATATATATATATAAACATGATTTTTTTAAGCTAATATATTGCTTTCTAAATCGATCACATATAATTGAACATTATTAGACAAATAAAGGTAGAGTTGATCAAAATAGTTAAGAGAGTGAAATAATCATAATGGAATTGCAATGCTCTATATTTCAAATATTTTTGTTTGGGTTAGTAGGAAAAACTTTTTTTTTATCTTAATGTAGCATCACTTTTCATAGTGTCTAAAGGAAAATTTCTATGATTTCTTTAAAAAGTTTTAAAGACAACATAGATTGCAGCATTTGGGTGTAGCTGTTTGGCTGCAAAAGGTATACGTGGCATGTTGGGAAAGTATGAACATACAAGATTGGTGGACTACCGGAGACTTGCATATTTTAAGTCTATATGATGATGAGATTAGGCATGTTCAAAAGAAACCATTCGGGTAAAGTTTCCCTAATAAAATCAATATACGGTTACCTGTTTACAGAAAAATGAAACATGTCTAAAATTGACTTGCCATATTAAGGCACGCTCGTTTAAACAATAGCATAGCGCACACGAGCAGGCTTTTTCGCTGTCAAGCAACCTGGGCTTTGTCTTTCAAAGTCTGCGTGATATACAAAACTAAAGCAAGCTTTAAGACAAAGGGACGAAGGGGCTGCTTGGCTAAGGGGGCGTTTTGATTGCATGTAACTATAATTGTAATACAAATGTCACTTGCATGTAACTGAAATATTACAACTCTTCTATCATAAAATTACAGTTATAATTGTTAGGATTAAAATTTAAAATTTGCAACTTAGTGTTGCAACAGTTTAATTTTGCTTGTAACTTTCCGTACACAACTTGTTTTCTACTATTAAAAAGCTATAATTAATTCTTTTTACACTTTTAAAATATTATTTTTTTTAAAATAATTTTTATTATTAAGTAAATTGACTTTTAAATTTTTCTAAATTTTTTTTGTAAGATTATATTTTTTAATAAAATTATATGTTATTAAAAAAATATTTTTTTTATAAAATTAAAATATATTGTTGAATTTTTTTTGAAAGTAATATTTTAATAAAGTATAATAGTATTCAAGGAAGATTTATTTAAAAATTATACTCTTTCAAAAAATACTACTGTATGAATTTTTTTCCACAAAAATATTTTTTTTCTAAAAATAGTTTTTTCAAGAATTTTTTCCAAGAAAATATTTCTTCAAAAAAATAGTGTCTTCAAGAAGACATTTTTCCAAAATATAACATTTTTTTAAAAATAATATTTTATAAAAATTATATTTTAACAAAATGATATTTTTAAAAATAATATATTTTATAAAAAATAATATTTGATGAAAAAATACATTTTTTAACAACTTATTTGAAGAAAATATAATAATATTTTTTTAAAATTAATGAATTTCTTATATTTTTTTGAAATATTAAGGAATGGTTTTGATTTCAATAAATTTGGTACACTTGTACATAAGCTATAAATGTGCATTGCTGCCATTTTGGACATAAGTCATGTCGATCTAATGGGTGTTTTGCAACTGTAACAGTGAGTTGCGACCAAACAAACACTTGTAACTAGACAAGATTGACCCAGTTGCATGTAACTTAGAATTGCAACCACTCCAATTGCAAGCTACCAAATGCCCTCTAAATGGAAATAGTGTTGCAAATATAAATAAAACAATCGGAGTAAATTGTTTGGTTTGCAACATTAAAATTAGAAAAGGTAAACGAACTTGCATTTTATAAGAAAAACTTGTAAGAAATTTTACTGCTAATTTGGTGCGACAAAAAGCTACAAGCTTCAGAAAAAGAAAAGTAAAAAAATAAAAATAATTCCACCTCATCAAAAAAATCTTTTTAAATCCAAAAAGAAAATCATCTACACCAAGTTTCCTTAGAAGGCAAAATTACATAGCTCTTGCACTAATTACATATTAATCAAACACTAAATTTGCTTCAAAAATACATTTCCTACAACATAATTGCAGATATCCAAACAATGAATTTGAAGTTAATTTCCCACAACAAATACTGCATGCAACATTTGCTACAATAATTTATTTTGAAACAAACCCCGGCCCCAAAGCTTCTTAATTACCACTGACGTGAGACAAACTGAACAAATTTAGAATTCATTTGTCTTGGCCTTATTTATGGAAAAAATAATCTTAAAAGTCCCTGGTTGCACCAAAATTCTGAAAATGTGACAAAGATTGAGAGTTATATTTTTACATTCTAACAAATAATTATGGATCATCCCATTTTTAAGCATAATATATCTGCACTCACTCCAAAATTAAACTCAAACTGTAGTTATTGTCGCTGGTGCGTCAAGGCAGAAAACTAGCATACCCTAAATTCATAAACCAATCCTGTCCAAAGAAAACTTTAGCAAATGCATCATGCCATTTGGGACTAAAATCACAAAACACGTTACAGCAGTGACAGAATTAACATATAACAAAATTACTGAAGCTCCACAATAGAGTTATAAAAAGGAAAGCATATAGAAAGAGGTGAAAGTGACTCATCTGTGACTCCACATAATCACACTTCCAAAATGGATTGATAAAACTGTAGTTAGTGCCGCAGTCTTCTGGCCGATGCACAGACTAACGTCCCTGTAGTTCTTTTATTTCCATTTATCAGAACTTATATAGCTTTTGAAGAATCTTCAGATACTTGTAACTGAAAGCTTCTCCTAAGAAACTCTGAGACCTTAGCACTAGCAGCACGACCACGCTCCAGGCAGTTGAAGTAATCCCGGACTGATCAAGGTAAAGTACGAGGAAATACCAAAATTGTCAGTTCTGTTCTTTAGTAACAGATTTTTTTCATGTGCCCCATCTTATCCAGAGTTATATACGTATTCTTCTTGATTAATTATGCACATGCAGTTGAAAGATAATACCCATTCTAGGAACTTGGGGAGCAAAACATAATAGATGTACAGCTGAAAAGAAAATGATTATGAATTATGGAGTAACCGCATTACATTTCCTTCTTTTTCTTCTTCTTCTTCTTTTTATTTTTATTTTTATTTTTTGGTGTGTTGCTCAAACATAAAATTTAACAGGTTGAATTAGTAGGTCAATTGCTAAAACAGAGAAACAAAACAGTAGGAAGATTGCATTTAGTTAAAAGAAGCATATGAACACTTTGCCTTGTGAGCAAAACTACTAACACAAAGGATGGATCAGCATGATGCAGGATTCAGACAAGGGGTATAACGAAATCATTTTTAACGATTGGACCTTGTTTATTCAGCTCTATAAGGAACTGTTCCCGGCTAAATCCAACCTGAAGCACATTGGTCAGCAAAGTTTCAAAATGCTCGACTATGAAATGATGAGATAAAGTGAAAAGTTTTACACCTTGATGTATCAAATAATAGTAATAGCTCAACTATATTTATAGTCCCAATACTGTTACGGAAACAGAAATGCACATACAAAAGCACAGAGCATAAAGATCTTACCAGACATTGCCCCATGGGTAACAGATGTTATTATTCCATGTTCGATAGGCTGCACTTCATCAGAAGCTGAACTTTTAGGAATAACCGACAGAGGTGGATTTGGGAATGCCAAATGTGCAATGGCCAGCATTTTCTGCCGAATAATCAGTACTAATGTTAACAGCCATAACGTCTGTACAAAGTGGGAAAGTTTACTATTTTGGAGCATGTATCAATTAAGAGAGATAAAACAAACTAGTTAAGATGGCGTGCTACACACACCCCTTCCCACACCAAATAAGTGATACACTGTTTCTCAAGAAGAGAAGCTTGAAACTTTTCGCAAATTCGATTATAAGCAAAATACAGGATATTCTTTTTTTTTAATTGACAACACAGAATATTCTTGATACAATTGCAATGCATGAAATAAATCAAAATCATACATATGAGCTTAAGTTGAAACAAGTAAAGAAACTAGCAATTCCATCAAATCAGAGGAGCGGAGTTTCACAGAACTATTGGATCGCAACCTAGTGATAATTAACAGTATTTAATATCGACTTGACACAGAATGTAATATGAAATGAACCATTTAACATTTGATTTTGCTTCCTAAAACAATTTACAAGGTAATGCAAATGGCCAGGAAACCAAACTACCTGCTCTTCTACAAGGGTGGGATCCAAAATTACAGATCCATTCTCAGCCAAAGCGCAACTGATTGCAACTGCACACAGTAACAATAAAGTTAAAAATTACGAAAGTATATGGAACTACAAATCATCACAAATATTAGTTAGCTGACCAGCAAGATGCTTCAAAGGAATGCCAGCATCTACAAGTGCAGCACAGGATGCATTTATAGCACATGGCAAGAGCTACAGTCTTGATTAAGAATCTGAAATCATTATAAAAATGTTTGCACGTCCACAAAAGGTTCAAATTGTAACATAAACTACTAAGTAAGGAACCAATTAAGTTTGCATTTGGCTTGTGTTGTGCATCAGATAAATGCAATTTCCTCTAACAAAAACAGTATCTTTCCATTCAAGTGCACTGATTTCTATGTTAAGAGAATTTAGAAGGTTGATACTGATTTACAAGCTCAAACTGTGTGATCAATAAAGTAGTTTTCCCTATCATTTGCCTTCAGGCTCTTTAAATGATTTACAAGCTCAAACTGTGTGATCAATAAAGTAGTTTTCCCTATCATTTGCCTTCAGGCTCTTTAAGCAACAATCCCTTTCTTTTCTTATCCCTAGTTTTCCCTATCATTTGCCTTCAGGCTCTTTAAGCAACAATCCCTTTCTTTTCTTATCCCACTTTTTCGAAAGGAATTTAACACGGTAAGCACGAGTGGAGGATAAGATCAGCTTGTGACTCTAAAGACCCCCTCTAAAGACAAAACCGAGAATGTTCTCAATTTAGAGTCAAACAGCTCACATATGTGGGAGAAGGCAAAGGTGATGACAATAAAATATTAAATAATATGAGCACAAAATGAATATCAAGAAGGGCCTGTAACAAAAGTAGGACATGGTTCCAAGTCGAAAACATGTGTGCCATGAATAAGCTTAAAAGAAAAGACTGACAAATGATGAGAATCAATTAATGTTAGAAAAGTTAAAACTAAAGCTTTGTAATTGAACTCTTTAAAAAAGAGGTTCCTGTTTAGATCAACCGAAATGAAGGCAAAAGTTGTATCACGATCTCCACCCATCACTTAGGAATTTTATAGCCAGATTTTAGTGTGAGGATTACTACTTTTAATTCTCCACCAATTTGAGAAACTTAAGTATTGGAAAAGCCATGGAAAGATTGGTGAGCTAAAAGTAAACACCCAGTTCTTTCATGCCATATACGCCAGGATAAGACAGCTTGTAATCTCTAGCATCATATTAGCATTTCCATATCATGAGTTGAGTCGATCATTCAAACATAACATTAAACAAGTTTCAGCGATCCTCCAAAAATTTCTGAATAGCAATTTTAATGTACTAGTTATAAATGAATTCGATGTAAACAACATAAAAGATACAGCGCCATCATCACCAACGACCTGAAAAAGGGAAGACCAGAAAATAACTTAGATATAGAAACAATAGTGATATTTTATATACATACAATAAGCATCAGCAGTGAGAATCTATAGAAAAAATTATTGAAGATCATGACTTGATAAACATACAGGACACAGCAAAGGTATATTTCTTACAGTAGGAATCAACAGACCACACAATCACAGTAATATCAGAACTAAGAATAACAGGATAAAGTATTATAAAAGGATGGTTGTTGTGAAGTCTATATATTTACTTGCTTGTGCTTCATATGTTACGACCCATATACTGTGTCATCACAACTAAATAGCATGCAATATGTTCACTTTCGTATCAAACAACTGAAAAAAAATAAATATATAATGCGCTCCTCTGATACATGAAGGAAAAATGCATAAGTTCTAGAGCAAAACTTTTTAATGCACTCTTGTTCCATCCATGCTTCCCAAATCCTTGGAAGGGCCCAACAGACGTACAGCTCCCTCCATCTTCTTATCATCCAGTCTACTCTTTATGCTTCCTCAAGTGCAATTCTCTTCAATAGTCAGGTTAGCGTCAAAAGTTGCATGCATAACTGCCAACTGGCTGGCTTAATCTCACTTGATTGTTCTTCCAATTTCAATCAAGCATTTCATACCTCAATAGTGATATTAATACTACCAGATCCTACAAGCCCAACACTATAATCTGCATGTTCTTTAAAGCACATACCTGCACGAATCCTCATTTGCCAAAAATGAGCAAGGAACCCACCACCATTCATTTGATTGTATCTTATGTTCTTTAACATGAGTCTCATTAAACAACTTATGCAAATAGTCACTTTTTTTTTTGATTAGGAATCTTTGTCACCATTCACCTTGCCTTCAGTCTTTTTGATACATATCTAGCGAGCTTACAATATCCTCACTCCCCTTAATTTCAAAATGTTTGTCATTATTCCTTAGATTTAGTTCTCGGTTCTCACTCTTCAAGTTCTACCTCCCAGTTCTTATTACCTTTTTCGTCCTGGTTCCTATCTCAATTTCTTAATATTTAAGTAATAATAGTAACGCCATGAATGTTATTAAAAATAAAGAAAAGTATTTTCATGACTAAAGTTGAAAGATCATTGGTCAAGCTCTCTAATACATATGTTCTAATGGAGCTTATCAGATCAGCAACCTTCAGGATCCACTCATGCCAACTACACAAATTGATTTCTCTCTCGCTTAGGAAATTGATTCATATATATGATCCATACCAACATATTAGCTACTCACTGCGAACATTCAGTACCAGACCTTGAAACTGAGTCTGGAATAAATGTTTCTAGTATCTATTACCACCAAAATTGATTCACTTCTTAAACATTTATAAATGCTAGATGTAGTAATGTTTCTTGAAAATTTTGCCAGATGCCAATCAGGTTTGACCAAAATTTTATGAGCAGGGACAACTACCCTAATGTTTGTTCAAGCGCGTAGAGGTTGTTCAAAAGAAAAAGGAATATATATATATATATATATATATAGATATATATATATATAAAGTCTCTTCATATCTTGCATGGATCCCTAAGTATCATCAATGGATAGAAAGTTTAGTGGAGGATCCACTTAAGTTGACATAAGAATTTCTCTATGTGTGTGTGTGTGTGTGTGTGTGTGTGTGTGTGTTCTAATGGAGCTTATCAGATCAGCAACCTTCAGGATCCACTCATGCCAACCGCACAAATTGGTTTCTCTCTCGCTTAGGAAATTGATTCATATATATGATCCATACCAACAAATTAGCTACTCACTCTGAACATTCAGTACCAGACCTTGAAATTGAGTCTGGAATAAACGTTTCCAGTATCTATTACCACCAAAATTGATTCACTTCTTAAACATTTATAAATGCTAGATGTAGTAATGTTTCTTGAAAATTTTGCCAGATGCCAATCAGGTTTCCAAAATTTTATGAGCATGGACAACTACCCTAATGTTTTGTTCAAGCGCGTAGAGGTTGTTCAAAAGAAGAAGAAAAATTGATCTCTCAGAACATGAAGAAATGGATGTGATCAAACTGTAATTTTGCATAGACAAGATGAATTATTCAGGATACAGCCACATAGGAAGTAGTCTAGAAAGAGACAATTATATATACAACCGTGAATGGAATCCACTTGTGTCTATTATATGTAAAATGTAGATATCTTTGTTCCTTGACCCTGACTCCTTTATGCGCGAGCCGATGTCATTGATGTACCCCCCCCCCCCCCCCCCATTGTGGTGGATACTGCCACATTGAAAAATTGTATCCTTAAAACTACTGATGCTATCTGCCTATTGGTATTTAATAGAACTCTGGACACTGGAATTCACAGTGAATGTATCTCTGGCTTTTGCCGTTTGTTCGATTATGTTCATAGTCTAAAACTTGAAGATATCACAGAATGCTATAAAGATTAGAGAAATAACTCGGATCTCGTTAGGGTTCCAACTTAAAGCTTATATGTTTCTGAGAGGTATAATATGGAAATAGCAGAAATATATTCTTACCAGGTCAAAGCCAAATTATTAGCCCATAAAGATCCTGAGATAGATAGACGAGGGAGTTGGTGCACAGTCTGCAGACTAGCAGCCTGGCGCTAAGGTTGACTACTTATGTTAGGATTAATTAGAAGAACCTATTCCATCAAAATTTCCCCTGGACGTATTGTCTTTTTTCCTCTTTTAAATTTTATGAAACCCTGAACATATTTTGCTAAAGGTGCAGTTCTCGCAGAATTTTACCATCACTATGACAGAAAATTATAAGAAAATAAATTTTGGAGGAAAAGCCACAGTCAAATGATGATATAGATATTAAGAGTCACTAGACTACTATTATCATACAAATGATGACAAATATAAGTCAAGCAAGGCACAGAACTGATGTTGATGAAGCAACAGAACGAATTGAAGAATTCATTAAAAACAAAACCTGTTCCAATAAATAGCTTCCACTCATGCAGTTTTAGCTACGCGGAATGAGTGATTTGGGTTATTTAACACGTTATTTCAAATGAAGGTTGTTCAAGCAAGTAAGTACGAGATAATAGAATCTGGAAAGGTAGTATAAGTCACATATCCGAGGAGCACATATTAAAAATTAATAAAATACTTCATATATGGAAAACATACACGATAAAGGTGTGAAACATCACATCAGGGAAACTTTCTTCCAGAGTAATAACAGAAGTCATAAATAAAACCAATACATTAGAGATGTGATAATAGAAAGTGGAGCAGTTAGTGCGAGGCATATATTTGAGGAACCCATACAGTTCAAATATTTAGTAGAAGAATGAAATTTCACATTAGCAAGCCAGCTAACCTGAACAATGACTGAAGTCGTCGTATTTGGATGAATACTCAAAAGGCATATGCTCTGCAAAGTTCTCTTTAGGATCATCTCACACTCT